GTCTAGAGCTAGGCTTTGAAATCTCAGGAGCTCAAGTCAAAAACTTAATCTAATTTCTTCTCTGTGGATATTTTGTCTCTCAACTATAAAGGAAACATTTCACAATGACTAGTACACAGCTCAAAACTGCCATCTCTAGGTATTATATTCTAGCATTCTTCACACTAAATTATTTTTCTGTTTTTTCAAAAGACTGAACACCTGAAAGGAAAAATATCAAAAGTTTATCCTAACAAGTTAATTTAAGAACTTATTTCAAAAGGATGTGCCTTTTCACTTGAAATTTCAGCTTACATGGTCAGCTCCTTTTGGCCCATGTAATTTTTTACATTTGACATAATCACTAGTAGAAGCAATATATTAATTATTTGACGTGAGTGGTGCTGTGTTCATTATTAGTGAATTCTAATTACTAATTAACATGTGTCTTTGACAACAGCAACAGCTTCTTCACTACACACTTGCTTGTAGCTTTTATTAGTATTAACAAGAGTTGCATTTCCTCACTTAGATCCAAAAAGGTCTCTGAATTAACACAGGTCTCTTATATTTAATATTTGCTGGTAAGAGTATTTCTCAAATGGTTACCCTTTAGTCTGGAATATCTCGAGAAAATATTAGCACTGTCAAATAAAAAGGTTAAATGATATTTTAAGCCTTTATTCTGAACTGCTAAATGATACATTACTTGAATGTTTCCCAAGTAAAAGGTTCACATTCTATGAGAACTGTAATAATCAAAGATACCAGTCAGAAAGATCTGACCTTTCAAAGAACAGATAATATATCAGTAATGAATCAGGGAAGTGACGAGAAGAAAAGCAATTTTTGAGTTGATGTTGGGGCATGCACAGAATCTAGTTCATATCACTACTGAAAAACACCTTTACAATATTCATCATGCCAGGTACAGATTCAACATCTCTGGAAGAGCAACAGATGCCAGGGAAAAAAAAATTAAAAAAATCCGCCCACTCCAACAATTCTGCTTAACTTCAAAAGGAGCACTATATAAAAGGAAGAGTGATCATAAAGAGAAACTAAAATGTACAACTAAAAGGATAAAATCTGTAATGACAATATGAAGACAGTTTAAGGACATGTGGTCAGATCACATGAATACTTCCCACTTAAAAAAAACCCCAACATTTCTCATAACAAATAACAAAATAAATAAAGCTTTACTTAACAGGATGATAACGGAGACGGTTAGAAGAAAAAATATACTTAAAAAAAAAAAGTTCAGAATCTCCAGTAGATTAAAACACGGAGACATATAAAGGCAAGCCTTGAAATAGTTCAATGAGCTGCCTGCAAAATCATAAAGTCCTAATACCTCATTTTTCAAATGCATTAGAAACACAGCCAACTAGATAATTTGTGGTGCCAACAGACATTCTGAAGGAGTATTCTGAGAAGATAAAGCCATAACAATAAGATGAAGTTTGTTTTCCCATATGAGTTCTTCATGGTAGACTTTACAGGTACTTCCACAGCAGAAATTAATACAGAATTTATAGTTAAAAAAAATCCACCCAAAACATAAAACTGACAAAATAATCAGCAACAAGTCACCAGTATCAGTTCTGAAGGAATTTAAGAACAAAACAGCTGACCCTGTCCATAGTGTGTAACTCCCTCCTTAGAAATGTGTCAGTACCAACAGACTGAAAAGCAACAGATAGAAAGGACAGAATTCAGTGAACACATGGATAAGACAGACAGAGGAAAAGTCTAACAGCTTTTGAAAAGAGAAGTTATATCTTGCATATCATTGGATTTTCCTGAAGGAATTACAGGTCTGGTTGATACAGTTACCTGGAATTTCCAAAAGATGCTTGATAATGTTCTTCATGCCTTAAAGAAAACTAAGCTGCTCTGGGGTGAGCAAGGCAAATAACACAAGGGTAAAAACTAAATAAAGAAAAGTTTGGAAGAACAATGTTCACTTCTTAAATGAGTAGATACCATTAGTGGTGTCCCACAGAGACCTACAATTGAGATTTGTTTTTTCAACATACTGAAACATGATCTGGCACAGGGATGAATGGAAAAATAACTTCTTTTGACAATACTATGTTACTCAAAATAACTGAGACAATGGTGAAAAGCAAAGAATTGCAGAAGAATCTCATAATGTTGAATGTGCAATAAAAGGATAAATAAAAGTACACATAGATAAGCATAAAGTGATGCATAAGAATAAAAAACAATTTTAAGTCTGTATATATGGTGGTGGGTTTTGAATTGACTAGAATGAGATCTTGAGGTTATAACTGATAGTTCTGTGAAAATACCAGTTCAAACCCAACAGCAGATTTTCAAAAAGCTAAAATACCATTAAGAAAAAATTAGACCATTAATTCTATAACACCGTTCTCTGAGGTGGTAATATACTACAGAATCTGATTCCCCCTTATCTTAGAAGGGATGTAACAGAACTAGAAGAGGTAGAGGCAATGACACAATGTTATCTAAAGTATGAAATAGCTTCCTTCTAGAGGAAAGGGGGGGGTCGATATTGAGACCAGTGCCATTTAACACCTTTGTTGGTGACATGGACAGTGGGCTTGAGTCCCCTCTCAGCAAGTTTCCCCAACAACACCAAGCTGTGTAGTGCAGTCAACACGCTGGAGGGAAGGGATGCCATCCAGAGGGACCTTGACAGGCTGGAGAAGTGCGAACCTCATGAAGTTCAACAAGGCCAAGCGCAAGGTCCTGCACGTGAGTCGAGGCAATCCTGAGCGCAAATACAGGCTGGGTGGAGAATGGATTGAGAGCAGCCCTGAGGAGACGGATGTGGTGGTGTTGGTGGATGAACAGCTCAACATGAACCAGCAATGTGTACTTGCAGCCAGAAAGCCAACCGTATCCTGGGCTGCATCAAAAGCAGCGTGACCAGAGCTTGAGGGAGGTGATTCTGCCCCTCTGCTCTGCTCTCATGAGACCCCACCTGCAGTACTGCATCCAGCTCTGGAGGCCCCACTACGAGACAGACATCGAGCTGTTGGAGCGAGTCCAGAGGAGGCCATGAAGATGATCAGAGAGCTGGAGAATCTCTCCTATAAGGACAGGCTGAGAGAGTTGGGGTTGTTCAGCCTGGATAAGTGAAGGCTCTAGGGAGACCTTATAGCAGCCTTCTAGTACCTGAAGGGGCCTACAGGAAAGCTGGACAGGGACTGTTTATCAGGGAATGTAGTGATAGGACAAGGGGTGATGGCCTTAAACTGAAGGAGGGAAAATTTAGATAGAAATTCTTCCCTGTGAGGGTGGTGAGGCACTGGAACAGGTTGCCCAGAGAAGCTGTGGATGCCTCATGCCTGGAAGTGTTCAAGGCCAGGTTGGATGGGGCTTTGGGCAACCTGGGCTAGTGGAGGGGCCGGAACTAGATGATCTCTGAGGTCCCTTTCAACCCAAAGCAAGGAGTTTTCAGCACGAAAAAGAAATCATGGAGAGAGGATATGATGGCCTTAAAAAAAATCATGAGTGATACAAAGAAAATAAATGGAAAATAGTATAAGATGTAGGGATGATCAAAATTAAATCATCTAGTACCAGTTTCCCAAAAGGTGTTTTTTCTTCACAAAATACACTGGAATTCTTAGGCACAGGATAGTTTCAATGTTAAAATAAGTATATGGTCCAAAAATGTGGAAAAAAATAAAAAGCATGGTTTCGTAATCTTTCCACAAAAATACTATCCTATCTTAGAAAATCCCAGCTGCTGACCAGGACAGTGTTCTGAGGAAGCTTCTATATGTTCTCACCATTTTTTTCTTATATTCTTCCCTAGGCATTCACTGTTACCCATTATTCAAGACATGTTACCAGGTTAGATGAACGCTCTGGTCTGACTTGATATGATCTTTTTTGTTCTTCCCTACTGGATGTGTTTTACACAAACAACTGAAAATTTGGGATATAAATTCTGTATTTCTCTGTCCCAGGTAACAAGTTTGCCATTATTTTTACAATGCTAAATTATGCACTACATTCACTTTTGGTCCTTTATATTTTGGAGACTTGACTAACACTACCCAAAAATTAAGGAATTAACAAAAGGAATTTTTTTTTTTTTTAATTAAGGTCATCTCTGTCTCTATGTCCTATTAGTACAAAGAATCCTTTTTTCTCTTTTTTTCTGTGAAATCAGCCTTTAAAAGTGCTTTCAGCAAAGCAGCATGCAGACTACATGATACAAGTAGAAGCAAAACTTCCAATAGTTCATGTTTATTTGAACTTAGAGTAAAACAATACTATAGAACAACAGTTTCTATTTTAATACTGGTCTGATTCTTTACTAAGAAAAATAAAACAAAAATTTATTTCTTACTGTCATGGCCTTTAGGTCATTAATAAGCCTTAATGGCCCTGACCAGCCTCATGTGGGGCTCAGCCATGGACACCCAGTCCCTGACTGCTTGTGATCCGGCCTCCTGAACGGACCTGGACCTGTGCTGTAGGTAGCTTGTCTCCTGGATGGATCCTGGATGGATCCCTCAGGCACGCATTGTAGCCTTCTCTCCAGTCCTGTCTCTGGCCTCATCTCCTTTTGCTCCTGACTGGACCCCGTGGATAGTCCCTGGACCTGGGGCATTGCTTGCCACATCCAGGGAAGTCAAAGGACCCTGCTACCAGCAGCCAGCTCTGACTGCTGGGCTCTGCCCCTGGGCATGGTGCCTGGTCAGCGAGGGCACTGCCCATGCTGAGTCACCCTTGCCTCCCAGCTCAACTTCCCTTACCGCAGTTCCAACTATATTAGCTCCCTTTTATTGGTGGGTTTAGCTTCGAGGGTTTATGGTTAGCTAAGAATTGACTTGGATGTATTGCACAATTTTTGCAAAAAGATTGTACAAGTACTGAAGAAGACAGTAATACAAAATGCTTAGGGACTAGAAATTAAATTATCCTCAAAAATCTATGTTCATGATGAATCATTTCAAGATCACTAACAGCACACACAAAGAAATTAATTAAACAGGATGCTGAAGAGTCCAAACCTGATATAAAGCAAGAGTGTGTCCATATCTCTGGAGTGGCCCTTTGGATACAGGTACTACGTTCCATATACTGCTTTCCAAATTGTAGCTAGAAGAGAAATAGAAAAAGTAAACATTTTCTACCTGCAGAGAAATAGGGACTTTTGTATGTTTGAACTAACTTCTGTTTGGCAAAACATGCACCCTTGATCAGTCACTGTTGTTTACCAATGTGGTAATTTGTTAGCAGCAGTTAGTACACAACAGTGACAGTTTACTAAATGCTCATCAATGAAAACAGGGGCAGCTCTTTCAGGGACCCATCAACAATCTCAGAAAATAGGACAATCTCAGAAAATCACCAGACTTACAAGAAAGTTATGAAACTAGACTGCTAAGCTCACTGTTAAAAGTCACATTAAAAAAAAAAACAAACCACACAAACAAACACAACACACAAACAACAGCAAACACCCAAAAGAAAAGCCCAAACACTAAACTGCTTATGCCACAATCTTTTGCACTACTTTGAAAATTTATTGTTGAGCTGCCCCTCAGCTATATTGTTGATTTTCATTTCCATTAAATTTTAATTAGCGATTAATCCATTAATGGATTAAAATACAACAAGATGGAAGAGAGGCAAAAAATAATACGACAGAGATAGAAAAGGAAATCACCAAAGATAGTGGGATTTGTTCTGGATGATTGCGAGTGTGTGGAACAAAACAAGAGGTAGACAAAAATAGAGTAAACATGCTAATAAACATATCCTAATACTTGCATTTAGCACATTTAGGGCCTGTATGTATATAAAAGTCACCATACAAACTGTCACAAACTTGAAGAAGTGAAATATGGACGACCCGTCTGACCCTACTGGCAGGGCACCAACAAGCTAAGTACATGTATTAAATACAAGTCTCCTATAACTATAGATCAGCTTCAATAATAGCATTCAAGATTTACTATCTGAAAATATCAGCCCGTGGATTTCTTTTACTGCTTTATCACTGCAAACATTTTTATGCTTTGCAGCAAAGTATAGCAGCAGTTTTCACGAAACTGAAGAAGTTACACATTAGTATCACAAAGAGATCAATATTACACATATTTTAACTTTTTTTAAATCATAAGAAAATTGCAAGCAGAAAATAACACCATTAATAAAGAATCTAAAAACACATACAACTTTCAGTTAATTGCAGGATAGAGGCTACCTCCCTGGTAAGATCAGTTTTCCCTAAGCCACATCAGAAGAGATATGACAAAGGAGAAATCACTTACTTCAACACCATTTGGAATGAACTGTAGTTAAAAGTGTATCCACCAATCACCCACATAAATTTCCCATGTAGGACTGCCTTATGGGAAGCCCGACCCACAGAAGGGCTGAAGGGCTTTACGTTTGGTAGAATCCAGTAAGACTCCGTGGAAGGGACGTTCAAAGAACAATCTGGACCTGTTTTGTAAACAAATGTGCAATTTGTACAATCTGTTAGACAGGGATGTTAAAGCCAATAAAGCAGAAACAGGGGAGGCTTAATTACAGATGTCAGGATTGCTCATTCTGATAAAATACAGTATACACTTTTATGTTTAACAGATGCTCAATGAAAAAAAAACCTGACAACAAGGGGCGTCAGTCAAATTGAATGTGTTAGATTAGCTCAAATAATAATGATATATTTCTGCATTCTTCTCAGAAAACATACTGTATGAGTCACAAATTGGAAAAAAAAGGCATAATGCATCATATTTTTAGACTCTGTACAGGTCTAAAATGTGTAGCACAGTATACACTGCACGTTACCTCTGGAGAAAAACTATACTGCATTTGAACTAACCAGAGTAAGCTTATATCAAAGCAAACAAAGGCCATTACTGGAGGGCAGGGAGAGTAGGATCAGGTTTGAAGAACTACAGAACAAGTTGTTGTGTGACCACATGAAAGAGCAATAAAATTACACATTAAATTCAACGTAGCTAAATTTAAAACTATGTAAGCTATGTTCCAGTTTGACTAAAGCGAAAATAGTCTCTCAACTAACCACTACTAGTCAGTAGTAAAGTCTCATTTTAAGATAACTCATGAAAATACCTCCTCAACACTCAGCACTGGTCAAAAAAGCAAGTCATATGTTAGGAACAGAGAACATCATTACTCCACTGTACAAATCAGTGGTTTGCCTACACTTAGAACACTCAAAAAGAAGATAGGGCTGAAGAACGTTTACAGAAGAATAATATGGATGTTCAAAGGAATTGAATGGCTTCTGTAACAGGAACTGAGTTGGCTAAGACTTTTTCACTTGGAAAAAAACTAAACTTGGAAGTTAATGATAGAAGTCTATAAAATAAGTGACTTAGAGGGTGGATATGAAGAGTCTACAGTCTCTTTGAATAGAAGAACCGAGATTTATCAAATGGAGGCTGAAGAAGCCACATTCAAAACAAGGGGAGGTAGTTCTTCATGCAAAAAGTGTCCAATCTCCTTGGCAAGGACCCCTGACAAAGAGCTCTGGCTGCAAAGGTTTACACTGAGTCAAGGAGAGACTGGACAAGCATTTAGAAGAGAACGCTGCTGAAATTTACTGAATAAAGTGATTTACATCAAGCTCATAATTACACTACCCTTGGGGGCGGGAGGGGGGGAATTACATTTTTCCAATGTGTATTACCATTTTTAGGGCAACTTCTCACAATTATTTCTTATACACAACAACCAGGCAAATAATCTGTAGCTAACCAGTTGTTGACTTTTCCTTGTACTCTATAGAAGAATGATGTCCACTTGTATCCAAATTATCTTCCATTTGTTAAATGATGTAGACACTCAACTGCCATTGTTCATTACGCCTTCTACCCAGAAAAGATTAATGGTATTTGAATGAGGTCTAATGAGAATATGAACAATTCAGTATATTATTTCTTAAGCATTAATAATAGATACTGTAATAGAATTGTAACCTCAGCAAGATTCTGATTTGGTAAATCACTGGAGGAAACACTTAATTTGAATCTAAAAGTGCTTAAAAATAAACAATTGATTAAGTATTCTTTGATCAGGGAAGAGCTTAGAATTATGAAAACGGTGCCTCCAGTCAGAAAATGAAAACACATTTATGCCTTTCATCCCATCTGCCGTCCTTGCGCAGAAATGTAGTGGTCAACAGTGTCCCCTAGTGGCAAATCATGAATACAACACACAAACTACTCGCATGCCCATTGACTTGAGATTTTCATTTCTGGAGACAGGGAACCGCAAGAATTCACATAGCAAATAGAAATATATTTAGATGACATTGACTGTATTAAAATGAGGACAAGCAAAAACTTTGTATACAAAGTTAACAATGCAAAAAACTTCACAATATAGTTAACCAGATCACTGATTGAAAGAATGTCATAGCTAATTTTTCTACATCAGTGCTTCATTGTTGGTCTACACTGAACAATAGGAAAGGTGAGATAGAAAGGAGAAACACCATGTACCTAGGTCTTGTTCTGGCATGGACAAAGGACGCATTCTAAGCGGACACACCTGAACTCAGGAGCTTGAAAGCAGGTTTACTTCAAAGAACATGATACCCTGTGCATGACGCACACACGTATTAAAGTGACATCAGTTGACACTGCCACCAGAAGAGGCACCCCTGGCCTCCTCTCACTGCTTATTCTTCAGCTGTCATTGCTACTGGCACCAGTTTTCACATGGCTGCACCATGACCCAGATGAGGGAATGCATCCAGGTTAAAACTTGCTTTTATTTTGAGCCATGTTTCACTTTGCCCACATGCACACGGTTGTGCCAACACAAGTAAGATCGCATGGCCAGGACTGCCTCTTCAGTGAAAGAGTAAAACTTTCATGGAGTTATCACAGTATCTATCAATCAGTACAAAAATGGAATATATAATTGAAAAAGCACAAAGCAATAGAATAATACTGACTTCTACTGAAGCACCATTTAAAAAGCAAATGCTTCTGTGTGGCTATTGCCTTATACAGGCAAGGTAAATGTATGACTTTTAGAAGTATCATTTACAGATTTTCCTACTTAATTACATATACCATGAAACATCACCATTATTTCAGCATAAATATGTTTTCTCTTCAGGAACATCACATTCACTAAATATATGTCTTTTGTGTAACAGAGAGCACTACAGCTGCAGAACAAAGATAATGAAAAATAGGGTTTATTATTTTCTATGCAAATATGATTTTTCTCCATTTATTTAAAATTGGATTTCTTTCTTATCTTCCTAATGTGTCACTCAATTCACTAAAAAAAAAAAAAAAAAAGCTTTAAAAACAGCAAACAACTTTATAAACCTGAATTGGAAGTCAATTACATTATCCTCCAAAGGTACGAAAAAATTCTATAGGTTTAAGAAAGCGATTTACTCACACAACAAAAGAGAAGGAATCTAATTTCTATTTATTGAGGAGTTTCATGAACTGCCAAAGTAACAATCTGTTCCAGTAGTTCAAGTCATAAGATCAATTTCCACCTAATGAGAAAACATCATCTACTGTCTTCAACCCTAATCTTTTCCTTTGGGATCACTGGGGGGGGGGGGGAACAGAAGTATTGATATGTTGAATATAAATGTCACAGTCCTATTTTTCATGCAATCTAATCAAAGCATTTAAATAAAGTATTTGTTGTTATTTTCCCATATTTTGTTTTCTATCTGATCATTTGAGTTGAGAATCATTGCTTTAACATAATTTTTCAACTACCACAAATGCAAACCAAATATCACTATTCTCAAGTACCCAATAAAATCTTCATATGATAATGAATTTGAGATTATGAAAAATATTTTTGAGAAAAGAGCATATATCTGAATATACTTTCAATAAAAATTCTACTGGAAGTTTTTCAAAGCAGTATATCATTTTTCTCACAGGACAGTGATGAGGTACTAACTGCATAAAAATACAAAGTTGCTGTGTAAATGAAAAGATAAATGTTCAAGAATGGCTCATCAGCATTCCAATAGTAGGTATATTCATGTATCCCTACACTACCACTGCACAGCTCCGCAACATCCATACGGGATGTAATTATTTCCCCTCTCCTGCAAAACAGTCTCACTCCAAATGAGACTTAATGGTAGACAGAGATATCCTGGACAGGTCTCCAGCGAAAGCAGCATGGTAGCAAGCTGTGCCAGGACTCAGCCTCCTCCATGAATGAAACATTCAGAAATCCTAATGCACATAAACTGATGCAGTTCTTGAAATGCCATCTGGTTGCTATTATTCAGTCCCATTTCTTTCCTCAGCCAGGTAGAGTGGATCGTCCAAGAGTGATCTGGCCTTGATGAATCCGCAGGGTCAGTCTGAGCAGGCAAGCCAAGGGCTGCACTTTGCTTGGTGCGTGCTACTCAACAGTGCTCGTAACTGTTCGGCTTCAGGTCTCAAACTCCAGATCAGCTAGGTCCGTACAGCAGAATGAGGCTTGATGCCATGGCAGGCTTTGCAGGAAGCACAGTGCATAGAAAGCTTTCCTAGTCTCTCATGACCAAGCACAAGTATACTCTTCAGTAGATGCTGCATGAGACTTGTCATCTTAATATTAAACAGAAAAAGTGTATTGCTTCTTAGTCTCTAAAAGAAACAGGGACTTTTCAGATTAGCAGCAGCTGTCAGTACCCATTGGATTAGAGAGTTTGAGACTCCATACTAATGCCAGCAGGATATCAAGCTCTAATATCTATGCTAACAACTTTTAGAAACCTTCACGGCACTAGTAGTCAAAAGCCTCCTTTCAATTTTCAAACTAGATGCATTGATGGCCAGTTTACCCCAATTTTTCTTCTACCAGTGTTGATATCACTGAGAGCTGGTCTGTCTATACACCCCCCAACCGTTTATAAACAGCAACACTATTCCCTCACAGCCTTCATTTTACTAGTTTAAACAAACCATGCTCTGTTAGTATCTTCCATAGCCCTGACCATCCTCACAGTTCTCCCTCTGAGCCTGTTTCAGTTTGTATTCATAAAAGTGTAATAACAAAAAATGAAGTACAGTACTAAAGTTTTCATATATTTAATTGTAGATTCTGTGACTGATCATCCTACTAATGCACTTGACACTTTACAGCCTATAGTAGAATTTTATGTATTTGTAGAATACATAAAATTAAGAATATTAATTAGTTCATATTGTAATTGAGATATACAAGCAAGTTTTCTCCCATGTCACCTTCCACACTTCAATCCAAGATTATAAAACTAATTAGTAATACTCTTAGTCCCTAAATGTATGAATTTACCATTCATACTGAAGTAATTACAGCCCACACATTACTCTAACCCTTTTTTTGCAGGATATTCTGGTCCTCCTTCACTTTGAAAGTAATTCCCACCTTTGTATTACCAGATTTCATTAGCAGTCTTATGAGTAGATTATAAAAATTATGTAACGAGATCAGTCCCAAGATCA